AAGAAGAAGATGTGGGCACCCACCATTCCCATGCACCACCTGCCAGCCATACAAACATGGGGGAATGGGGGAATGGGGACAAGGGGGCAATCAAATAATAAGAACATGGGAATGGGTGTCCCCACAATTCCATGTCCATTCTGTCGTCCTGCCTTGTGGGTGGTGGTGGCAGCCGCCAATTCCGACACCTGCAACCACCACAGGCAAATTCCGCCTAGAATAGCAGCATCTTGCTCCTGGGTCCAGAAATCATCACAAGCAGTGCAAGATACCACAAGGTCAAATTCAAGTGGAAAAGTCCACGAAGGGGATGTAGAAAGAATCTTTCCAACTCCTCATGATGACACCCTCTGGACCGTTTCATACCTCAGGATCTCCACCCTTCTTTATCCTTTACTTTTTTTCTTTCCATTTTTTTCTTTCTTTTTGTCTCTTTGTGGGATTTAGTTCAAAAACTGGAGGCCTTCCCACTTGTTCCGGCCTGTCCCCTTTAAGTGCTTTTCACACTGCCAGTTACAAAAAACGACGGATTCTGTTGGCATTACGAATGGTGTCTCGCATCCTCAGTTTCATTCGTTTCTTTTCTCTGTTGCTGCAAAATAATGGGGTATTAACACTATTGATTCCTATGCAACTAGACATACTAATAATAGAAATGGCATATTTATTATTGTTGTGGGCCGTTTCAAATTATTAATAGAAATGGAATATGATTCTAAGCTCCCCCTTGTTCTTTGTGTTTGTGGACAGTCAAGGATGTTAAGGGCTCTTCACTATGGATTGAAGACAATAAAAGGATAAAAAGGCCGAAAGAGAGAGAAAGAGAGAGAAAACATACCATGGAAAACGATTTGATTGAGCTGTAAGTTTTCACTGCCATTTTCCTGGTTTAGTTTAGTTTAGCTTATTATTTATTTATTTATTTACGTTCTCAAAGATGGTTAAGTAATTAATTTGAAATGTTATTAACTCGGACAAAATATATATATATATATATATATATATTTATAAAATAAAGCCAATGTGTTGTGCACTGTAGACCGGAGAATTTCTAAGGGAGCTGTACAACCACATATTTATTTTTATTTTGTATATGTTTTTTCTTCATATTCTGCTTTCTACAAAGGATGGAATGGGTACATGTTATTTTATTTCGTTCAATGAAATAAAGGGCTTTGAGCAATGTCCATCCTTCCTATTATCTTTTATTTTATTTTATTATTTTTATTATATTTACTTTTCAGTGGAGAGCCATATTTGGATATTTATTTATTTATTTACTTTATTTTCTTCATTTCCATGGCCATAGAGGCATACCTCCTCAAGTATTAGTACAATTCCTTCCTTCATTCCTTCAAGTTTTATTGTCCAGAATCCTTGATGGTCCACCTGAATAACAAAAGCAATAAAAATAAAAATAAAAAATAGAGGTATCTTGGAATCATGCTTTTGCTTTTGTTTAGGATCAAATAAAAACACTCAAAACAGAAGAGGTGAAAGTATACAAATTCCTTTACTTCAATGCCAACATTTCAAATATTGAAATGCATAGAAAAACATGAGTATTACCAGTAATACTAGCAACATTAGCAGTATTAAAATCTCAGAGCTTGTTACTATCATTTTTAGTAACTCTTCAATTTAGATTATATACATGTACACGTATACACATGCATTTTGTCCCTTTTATAAAAACAAGTAACATGTGTGGTTATTTTATATTTTCAAAGATTATTACTGGTATTCGACCTTCTACACCAATAGTCTCTCTCTCTCTCTCTCTCTCTCTCTCTCTCTCTCTGTATATATATATATATATATATATATACACATATTTCTCTACTTAAAATCGGAATATATTGAATTTATGAGTAAAATGTCGTTTAAAACATATCTTTTTGGAAGGAAAAAAATACAATAAATAACAGAATTTCAATTGAATACATTTGAAACTAACACACTCTTCAATAAACATGATTTTTGGAATAAGACCATGTACCACCACTTCCAAGCAAAAAGACAACTCTAAACATAACACACTTTCAATACTAGATTATTTTTAAATAAATAAAATTAAATAAAATTAAATTAAAGCATAATATTCACAAAATAAAAATTTGAATTAACCAGAGTGAAATATTAATAATTATAATAATATATGCTTTGGCATTACTTACTACTGTAAAAGAAAAATTAAATTGGTAGCTTTGTAGTTTTAATTCTTAAAATTTTGAATTTTTGTTACTCAAATAAAAGTCTTTTTATTTTATTAAAGTCTGGCACTATATATATATATATATATATAGTTTATTTATTGTGATTTGTGCTGAATTTCAAGCTTTTAATTATTGACTTCAATTTTTTTCATATATAGAATTATGCACTTACATATTAGGCTAAGTGAAAAAAAAATCTTTCAATTAATACTTGGTAAAAGATTTCAGATATGCTGTAAACAAACTAATGCACTGTTAAAATTTTTAGATTAAAAATTAGGAGTGCCAAGAAATGATATTACATGATAAATTTATAGAAGCATATATTTTTGACATCCAATTTTAATGATGTAAGTGCTCTTGCTTTTACTACCTATTAAAGGTTTATGAGAAAATTTGCATTAAAAAAACTTCTATTTATAAACACCAAAAGTTTATGAATTAATGACACAAACATTATGGTACAAACATGAGAGTTGCTAACTTATTTATTAAGATTCAATTGATGTGCAAAATTTCACTTTTGTGTGGCAGTAAAGCCATTATTTGTTATTAACTAACTACCTGTTGCTCACCATTCACTGTAGATTTGTTTTTTTTTTTTTGACATTAAATAAACCTATACATTTATGTTAAGATTTTCAACAATAACCATGTAATGTATGTGTAGATTCATTTCAAAGATAATAATGTTGTGTAACATAATTGTAATGATTTGTGTTTGTTTTTGTTTTTGTTTTTTTGCTTGTTTGTTAGTTTTGTCTTTTTTTTTTTGTTTGTTTGTTTGTTTTTGTTTTTTTTTTTTGTTTTTTTTTTTTACAATTGTGCAAATCAGTTATTAAAATTATATTAAAGTCAAGTTTGGAATAGTTTACAACATATTTTCAACCACATCAGGTAGTTTACAGAACAGTTGTATTTTTGCTCACTTCAAAGAAACATCTTTTTTCTCATGTCATTACCAAAGTAATGACAATAAATATGGTTTTTTTATCAAGGCATTCATCTTTATAAATTGAAATTATCTTGTTAGTTTTTAGTTTTTCAATGTTTAGTTTTTTATGTATATATGTAAAAGTTGATTGTTAATGAAATGTTTAAAATGTAAATAACTAAAATCATTTGTACTGTTTATTATTATTATTATATGTAAAAATATAACAAAGTTTTAATGCTTTTTACTGGTATTAACATAAGAAAAATTTATAATGATAATGATGATAAAAATTCATCACCTTTGTATGGAAACTGTTCTGTAGCAATCTTATTACGATCAGAGGAATGAGCATTTGACAACACAGGATTCTGCAATAAGGTTGATTTTTCTTCTATGAAATCAACAAATCAACCTAAATGAACTGCAAACTAAAAATTGTTGTGTTATTATTACTTTTTGCGGTGATTAAAAAATACATGTGAATTGATGGGTATACGAGAGGGACACCAACTTATATGAAAAATAATACGAGGAAAAAAAAAGACTATGTGATCATGTGTGTGTGGGTCAACACAAGCCATCTCTCTCTCTCTCTCTGAAAAGGATACTTTCACTCTTTTCAACAACTTTTCCTTCTTTACAAACTTCACTGAAAAATCTCAAATTATTATTTTCAAATCAACACCTCATTTACACACACACACACATATAATAATAATAATAATAATAAATGCGATTATTATAAATCCATGTAATTTTCAAGACTGGGTTTTGTTTTAGTAGAACCCTTTAATAATACTTTGTAATCTTTTTTTCTTTTTCTCACACCGTCAAATGGAGGATGGTGAACATGCTGATGAGGTATTAACAGAGGTGCTTCTCACATTCCACTTCTCCTTTACCTTTACTTTACTGTTTTTTTTAGTTTTTTTAAAAATTTTCCAGCTGACAGTGTTGATTTCCTAATGCTTCTCCTGCACAGACATCTTCCAAGCTTTTGCAGTCCTGTTGCTTGTGTTCGCTCTTTCGCTTGCTTGATACTTTCCTCGTTTTCATGAAGCCCAGTCATCCTTCCAACTGGACTCTTTTATTGCTCCGCTAGACCCCTTTCCACGGTGCTGACATGGCGCCACGTCAACCCCCCACCTCCCAGGCCGGGATTGCTGGTGGCATTCTCAGCCAGCACCCAATAGAAGTTTGTGGGGCACAGATTGTGTCGTCCAATTGCTTAGTTTGCAAGGATCGTCCCTCTTCCAATGATAGTAGTACTCATAATTGAGGACTGTCCAAGCAAACATCTTAATGAAGCAACGAAGCGGATCCACTCCAAACCCAATTTTCACACCTCCTCAAAATCATACACAACAATAGCAACAATTACAACAATCAAACGTACGAAACCAATGAAGAGAATTGGAACTATAAAGGTTCACACGACTTCTCCGTTCGATAACTCCGAGGTGTTGTTCCACCCTTCCAACGTATGTAAAATTGTCATATATATATGTCTGTCCATCTTATTATTCTAAAGGAGTGAGAGATTAGTAATTGCGAGGCGACGACGAATCGCGGGTCCACCGGGTTGGGAAGTGAGTGAGTGGCGCAGCCCTGGCCTCACTCAACTTGGCCGCCGTAGTGGCAGAAACATGTGTGGGGGAGCCCCAACCAAGACGATGGGCCCGGCTCTTTGAAAACTCTGAGGGGATGGAGGACTATTTGAAAACGGTGGGCTGGCCGGGGCCCCATTCCCGCGCGGTGAAGCCACATTACCCTTGTTCCTTTTTACGGGCGGAGAGAATTCTACACACTCTGGTAAATTTATGGGGACCTTCAAAAGGATGCGGGCTGCCTTGCCTCCTCCCCCATCTCTGCGTGTTTGTTGCGTTCACTGCTTCTTTTGAAGCTCTAGCTCGTATTGCTGCTCTCCCAGCAGCGCTCTGGAGGAGTCCGTTCCCATGCTCCCGTCTTCTTGAGCCTTCGGTGGAGCCTCGCAGTGTTCAATTTGGTGCTCGGTGGCGGATTCTTCGTTTTGGTGTGTGGCTGCTCTGCTCCTCTGCTTCGTGTCCGTGCTACCGGTCGATCCTGCGTCGTCGGAAGTTTTTTCTTTTTCTTTTTCTTTGTGGTTTCTGCAGTCTTCGTGAATGGAATGTTTGCGGGAAAGAATGGAATTAGGAACTACTCGGTTGTGATGTGGCGGTCTGACTGTCGTGTTGTACGGAGCTAGTGATGGACCTCTGCTCGGCGGTGGTGCTCAGTTGGCAGAGTTGTTGCTGTGGAGGCTGCTCTCGGGTTGTGCGGCCAATTGTAGCTCTCTTTGGGTTTATTAATTTGTGCTGGTGATGGAATGTCTCAATTCTTTGTTTACGTTCAAAATTTTTTTCGTCGATGTCACTGGTTAATCGTTTTGTTCTTGAGATGAAATTGGACATGTGTGTGGATTTCTTCTGGTTTGTACCCCAAATTTTGAGGTGTGCATGACCGCGTGAAAGCTCTTCTTAAGCTTTCGCCGAACGGACGGTCTTCAATTTCGAGGCTTACTTACTCTGAAACACGCCCCTTTCCTTGTCGAGGTGCACGGAATTGTTGCTGCCTTTAACTGACGTGATATCCTGAGCTTGCAGCTTTAGACGGTCTGATCGTACAAGAGCTTTCTGCCGAGTCATTACTCTTTAAGTTTCGCTGAGATCGGACGTGTTGCCTCGTGTTCAATCGCTGCCTTTTCTCTGCGTAGTTGCCATCATTTTACAGTTGATATTGTATTTTGTGGTTGTTAATGGCGCGATTTGATTATGCCGGAAGAAGTCAAAGCTGATGCTGCATGGTTTTTTTTGCGCAGGTCGAGTGTGCCTTCGTCTCTCTCTAGAGATATGGCTTCCAACGGTAACGGGATCGGAAGTGGACATGAAGTCCATGACTTCGAGTTCATGAGCACTGTGGTGCCAAATGGGCTTTCCAAGATCAACACCAAGCCTGTGGAAATGTGTAAGGACGATACCACAGCTCCTGTAAAGGTGACGAACATTGAACAGCTGCACGCTTTGCAGAGGAAGAAAGCGTCTGCTCCGACCACACCGAGGACCGCCACTAACCCCTCCACGCCCAAGAGCATGACTCCTCGCTCTTATGTGTCGGAAGAGGATCTGCACAAGCAGCAGATGCAGTCTGTGAGGTACAAACTAAAAATAACTTCTTTCGCATGGAACATTATATAAGTTGTTTGTCTGTTGTGTATCACTGTAGCAATGTTGCCAGGTACGCTGGGCACGTTGATCGTGCTACACATCATGTAGTCAGATCTGTGTGCGAAGATAATTTAATATAAATTCAAACTTCAAAAGCGAATTTTTATCGGTTATTTTATTCTTTTGTTTATTGTTTTGACTGTGCAGTGCATCCTTGGCCTCTTTGACCCGGGATCAAGGACCTCAGGTTATTAAGGGTGAACCAGGCAGGAAGAGGTCTCCTCCGAAGTCCGTGGTTGCTCCTAGAATCGACATTAGTGACAGTGCTTTGAAGTTTACGCACGTTCTGTATAACTTATCGCCTTCAGGTTGGTTTTTCTTCCTTCTTTTAGATTAAAAAAATAATATTATCCTTAAAATCTGCATTCAGTGTGTGTGTCTGTGAGTCGTTTGTAGGATGTATTTTCCTTTATTTTACCTGTGCTTTTTGAGAAGAAGGCTTTACTTATTTGATTGTGTTTGACTTTGATAGAGCTGTACGAGCAAGCTATTAAGTTTGAGAAGGGCTCTTTTATTACGTCAACTGGAGCTCTTGCAACTCTGTCTGGTGCCAAGACTGGGCGGTCTCCCAAGGATAAACGAGTGGTTAAGGAAGAGACCTCAAAACATGATTTGTGGTGGGGAAAGTAAGTGGCTGGTTCTCGTGGAATTACTCTATAATGGCGCCCAACTTTTTATAGATTTTTGATGCGTTATTTAAAGTCTTCAGTTTCTATTGTATTACTTAGGTTGCTGCGATGAATTTTCAGCACCGATTGAATAAGTTACATACAATTCAATATTTAGGCGGTTAATCCTTCAATTTAACCTTCTTTTATTTTGAAAGTGCTAATTCAGTGTCATGGCTTGTTTATCAGGGGTTCTCCGAACATTGAAATGGACGAGGAGACTTTCTTGGTTAACCGCGAGAGAGCTGTTGACTACTTGAACTCATTGGAGAAGGTGAGCTTGAGTTCAACAATTCTATACGTAGTTTGTGTTTTACATTTTTCTAAAACTGTATTTGTGGTAAATTGGAACTATCCGTTTTTCGCTTTTGAAGAGCTCTTTCTAAAATTAAAAAGGTTGAGATGTTCTGTTTTGTCACATACTCAAGTTTCTTGCTAATACAGGTCTTCGTAAATGATCAATTCCTGAACTGGGACCCTGAGAACCGCATCAAAGTGCGAATTATTTCAGCTCGTGCTTACCATTCACTTTTTATGCACAATATGTAAGCCTCTTAACTTATGGATCTCCTAATAGTCTTCTACAATGCCCGGTACGGACGCTGAACGCTAAATTTTGGCTTTGGCGGAAACTTAACATGTCGGTTGGCTCCTTATTATTTTTCGCATTCACGAAGAGACGACTTTGATAAACCGAAGGGTTTTAGCGTTTTAGGCGATGGCTAAAAACAAAGTTGGAGGTAGTTGTATGTTGGCGGGTTCCTTTGGCCCTGGATTAGGGTGGAGGTCTATGTCGATGAATGTATCTGTTTCGTGTGCTCGGTGGCATTAAGCATATGGGTGGCAGGTGCATTCGCCCTACCCCTGAAGAGCTCGAGGATTTTGGAACTCCGGACTTCACAATCTACAATGCCGGACAGTTTCCTTGCAATCGCTATACCCACTACATGTCATCGTCAACTAGCATAGATTTGAATCTGAAACGCAAAGAGATGGTGATACTGGGGACGCAATATGCTGGGGAGATGAAGAAGGGTCTCTTCAGCCTCATGCACTACTTGATGCCCAAAAGAGGAATTCTGTCGTTGCATTCAGGCTGCAACATGGGAAAGGCAGGGGATGTGGCGTTGTTTTTTGGATTATCAGGTATAGTTGGTAAAAGAAAACGAGTGCCCCCATGCTTGAACAGTCGTAAGATAAGAATGACGCGCACCACACTGAATTTCCATGGCTGGTTTGATGTGTTTGTCGTGTCAGGTACTGGTAAGACGACTCTGTCAACTGACCAGAATCGCCAGCTTATCGGTGATGATGAACACTGCTGGAGCGATAACGGTGTTTCGAATATTGAAGGAGGGTGTTATGCCAAGTGCATTGATCTTTCTGCCGAAAAGGAGCCAGAAATCTGGAACGCAATCAAGTTTGGAACTGGTGAGTTTTACATCTTTTGGTTTCGAATGCTGACTTTGGGACGCTAATGATTTCTTATCTAACGCCCTGTTTTATTTAAATGAATTTTAGTCGGTCTTTTCTAACCATGGTTGGTGAGGCCATTCTTAATTAATATGTTCTTTCTTGCAGTGCTTGAAAATGTCGTGTTCGAGGAGCATTATAGAGAGGTTGATTATACTGACAAATCAGTTACAGGTTAACTTCCGAATTTTCACACATGCACTCTACGTTTGATTCAGCAATTGCAAAACTGGAACATTTTTTGTAAAGTAATGAGACATGCTTACACATTAAACCTGCCTTACACTGTGGAAACTTACTGTTGAGTGGTTGGTAGGGCTTAACTTCTACGTTTGCTGCTCATTACAGAAAACACAAGGGCTGCATATCCTATTGAGTTCATTCCCAACGTCAGGCTGCCATGCGTTGGACCTCATCCAAAGAACGTGATCTTGCTCGCTTGTGACGCTTTTGGTGTCTTGCCTCCCGTGAGCAGACTGACGCATGCGCAAACCATGTATCACTTTATCAGTGGCTACACTGCCTTGGTATGTTTCCCCGATGAACCTCTCTTGAATTTAAAAAGCTTGACGATCCTTGTAACTTGGTCCTTTTGGTAGCTGTTGTACTGCACTGACATTTACTATTCGTATTGCCAGGTTGCAGGAACCGTGGACGGTGTGAAGGAGCCTACGGCTACGTTCTCAGCATGCTTTGGAGCTGCTTTCATTATGATGCACCCAACCAAGTATGCTGCCATGCTTGCAGAGAAGATGGAGCGATACGGTGCTACTGCATGGTTGGTTAACACTGGCTGGACAGGCGGCAGGTATGGATGTCAGTAATAAATATGTTGTTTTTCATTTAGCACTTGTGGTCGTGCTCCTTGAAGTTTGGTACGCTTTGACTATGCTGACATTCTGCTGGTTGTGCAGCTATGGCGTCGGATCGCGAATGAAACTTGCGTACACGAGGAAGATCATCGATGCCATCCATGATGGATCTTTGTTGAATGCCAAATACGTCCAAACTCCAATTTTCAACCTGTCTGTGCCAACCGAGGTCAATGGGGTTCCTAGTGAAGTTTTGGAGCCACAGAATGCGGTATGTAACTTGTCAAAACGAATCAAAAGAGTTCTTGTTAGGTTTAGTTAGGTTTTGGTTGAACTCTGTTCATAGATCTTGGGCACTGTGAGTGTCCAAGTTCCTAAATAAGGATAGCTTCTTTGGAAGCTTCTTACGGAGGCTTCTTTTTCAGCAGCTACGCGAAGCCACGGGTCCGGAGTGGAATTTATTGACGAATCTTGTAGCTCTTTTCTGTGTTTAACATGTGCTTTTGATGTACAGTGGTCGGACAAGAAGCTTTACAACAAGACTTTGAAAAAGCTTGCCGGGCTTTTCCAGAAGAATTTTGAGGTTTACGCCGATTACAAGGTTGGTGGAGATAATAACCTGACCCAGAAGATTCTTGAAGCTGGGCCAGTGCTGCAGTAGTTTTGAAGAAGCCACATGTGCACATGTCAACCTAAATTGGAAATATATCGAAAATGTGCTGGTCATGAAGCCGCGAAACCTTTCCTCAACTGGGAGTATTTGGTGGACATTCCAAGCTGGATAATGACGATACATTTAGAATAGGTTAAGTGAACGCGAGTTGAACCCCTCTACGAAAATGTATTTTTTTTCCCTGCCTAGGTTACAGAGCTCAGGGAGCAACTTCTCATTGAAATTCTGTGTCCATATTCCAACTTATGTGAATAAACAATATTTGACCTTATAAGTGTATCCCATTTTCTCCGGCAACAAATCAGTCCAACCTTTTCTCTTTCCTCGGCGCTTTCCTCAGCTCCAGCTTCTCATTTGCCAGATTGATGCTATTCAGATGCAATACTGTTTATCAGACTGCTTTCCGTCCTGATCCATCTGAGGGTGCAGGAGGGACTAGTTCACTCCAAACGACAACATGGAACTTTACCCATCGCATGCTTATATTAGTATTCCATGAAAGAGTTGATAGTCTTTCTCGTAACGTTCATTACCTTTATTTATTAACTTTTCTTTAATAATTCTGTGTCAGTCATATTTTGATAGTAGTAAGTATAGTGCATGCACGTATGCATGCGTGTCTAGGAATAAACAAACCTTTCGCAGAGTACATCTTGAAATCTAAATTGAAACTGCAATAACCTCGAATCTGATTTCCTGCCACGTAGTATAAAATTAGACTTCGAACTTACTGTGTAACACGCGCATTTTTTTTCAATCCTTCAGTTGTAAAAAAGGAGTGTGTATAAATGAATACACTCTTTTGTATCATCTATTAAAATCCAACATGAAAAGGTGTGAAAAGTACATTGCAACTGGATTGTTTGTGTGCATCAATATTTTCACCTAACATTTAAATTTAATATCAATAAGAAGAAGCCTTTGCGTGTACATACATATACAAATACAAATACATACATACATAAATTATTCACAGACAGGGTGCTTTTTTAAAAGATGCTGTTTGAATAGATCTGGACTCAACATGCTTTGAGTTATAAAAATCTTTAAAATTAAAAGTTTAAACACAATTAGGCCTCTAAGTTTACCTTTCTATCAAAAAATGCTTACTCCTTAAAAAAAAAAACTGGTGTCTCCTCAAAATTCGCTGATTGGCTGAATTTTTGTGAAACGAAATCTATTTTGAAATGAAAATTTGATTCTGAATTTACATTTTTGGTTTGCAATTTCTTTAAAATATACTAAGCTCTGTATTACGAAGAACTGCAAACCAAAATTCTTTATTAATGAAAAACCACTAAGTGTTGTTTAATCATTATTTTATATATTCCAAATATTTACAGGTGATAATACAAACTTGCATTATATTAACGACTAATGAATAAAAATTGTACAAACACATACAATATATCAATATTTACTCAAATGTACACAAGGTTAAGTACTCATTTGTTTATATATAATTATTGTAATACATGTTTTTATTATATTAGTTTTAAGAGTAATATTAGTGAATACTGTCACAAATTTAATGAATAACCTAACATTTGAAGGTAATTTAATATTTTTATAGTTTTGATTTAATATGATTATGACAGATTCGAGAGAATAAAATAAAAATGTAACTAAACAATCGCAGCAGTTCATAAAACTAGATATAATTTTAAATAAGGTGTTTAATGCATGCCAATTTTAATATAGATAAATAGATAGAGAGAGAGAGAGAGAGAGAGAGAGAGAGAGATATCTATTTATTTTCTTTTCTCTAAAAAAATTTAGATCCTAAATGTTTGATTATTACTCAATTTTTTATTATGCATCAAGACATCTTTAAAGCAATTCACAGTTGTTAAGATATTTCAAACTATTATTAGAATACTCCATTAATGTTTTTCAAAACTTATTTCCTCAAATGCAAATAATTATCTATAAAAGTTATTTATTAACAAAAAAAAAATCATCAGATTTATAATATTAAAGAAAAAGTACTAAAATTCCAAGACAGTTTAAAATTTTGATAGCTAAATTCGAAAGTGGCGATTTTTTATTAATAATTTTATTACTATATTTAAAATTATAAAATATTTTAAAGGCGATTACAATACCTCAATAAAGTGTAGAATTAAAATTCATTATTATTATTAAAGCCTGGCTATTGGGCTTCTTCTGATTATGTGTGTAGTTGCATTTAATAATTCACACACAAAACAAAAAAGACATGATAAAATAACAAAATAGGTTAGAGATCTCTCCCATATTTTTTAAAAGCCAATATATATATTATATTCAATAAATATTATTGCAATTAAAAATAAAATTAAAAATAACTCTTATATACCTATAAAATATTATCTGTACTTGATAATTTATTGTGAAATAAATCATAGATAAATGATTGAAGTTTGAATTATCTTTCAAATAAGGGTTTGGATTTTAATATTTAAAATTTACAAAAATTATATTAATTTTAAAAAATACATATGGAACTAAAAGCCTTTTTGAACGATCTGATTCTGTTGAAATGCAAGAGAATTTTATGGATTTATGTGATTTAAAAATTAAACTTATCTGACTTTTAAACATTTTTCTCACACCAATGCATTCTTAAATGTTATATTATGATACAACTATAACCAAAGTAGCTTCAATGAGCACAAAAGGCATTCTTCAATCATTTTTTCATGTAAAATTAACCAATCTATTGTAAAAAAGATAACCACAAAAATTTGATAAAAAATTAGTCTTATTTCAAACAAATAATCATGAGAATTTAGAATTGAATTTGAAAATTATTTTAGAAAAAAACACCAATGAAAGAATAAATAAATATGCATGCTTGGTGCTTTATGCAAAATATTGCATGCATTCTAAAATGTATATGTGTAGGTGTGTGGATATATATCTAATGTTTTTGTCTAATCAGCATAATATCAAACATCACCACATTATTTTAATATTATCTAACATCAATTTTGGTTATTCATTTATTAACACCGGAAATTTCGACAAAAAATCTCCTTGTGATTGATTATTTATAACAAGCACATAATCTTCCAATACATTTCTTTATTTTTCATAATTTCTAAAAAGGGTCTAGAATTTAGGGCTCCAGTGAATTAATGCTATTTCCACAGCAGAGAAGGACTTCAGCCAAAATTGAAACCCTAATTTTAACAACTGCATCCTATAAATCTAACATAACATTACCATTTGTGGCTTGCTATGTAGAATTTCTACATAGAAAGTATTGCATAAAAGGAAGAGTTGGAAAATGAACCCTCTCATTTATGTTGTTAGTGCTACACACTTTCCTTTTTGAAAAATAAATACATTTTTATTATTATTCTATCTTAATTCTATCACAACAACTTTGCATGCCACCAAGGTCGATTCAATGCAAAAGGATTTAAGCCGCTTGCTTAATCCATGATACTTGTTGTATAATGAGCATATGTGATGCAAACAAATATGTACTATTTGAATTCTGAATACATGGGTTTGATGTTTTTTTTTGGTTTTTGTTGAGGTACTGGTAAGTTGGGCTAATATTTGCATTCTTTGTTTAGATTTTGTTAGAAAATTATTAACACTTGCTTGTATATGTTTGTATCACAAATTTTCATATTCTTAATTATTAAAATTTTCATACTCAAAATTTAGCTCTTTTCTTAGTTTTTTTTTTAATTTAAATTTTTAAAATATTAATCAGTTACTTTCTACTTATATATATATATATATAAATCATGTAAATGTTATATTATTTGTAATTATGTATGATTTTTTATTTTTTTATTTTTTGAAACGTGCTTTGTGATTTTGTTAAATTGGTACATTAAGAGTATTGAACCTTTATTCTGATTTGAATCTTATCATTGGTAATTATATAAATAATGATAATTTTTTTCTTTTTACTTGTCACTTCTATTTGCTAATTTAAATTACAATTATGATATTAATGTAATATTATTATATTATATTATATTAATTTAGTGCTTTATATGATATTCTATTTATCAATGTTTTTTTTATTATCATTAAAAATATTTTCTTTGGACTCTTGTGGAATGTCTTTTCAGACAATGATTGTAGATTTTACTGAGTATTTTTAGAGTTGTAACATTGACATGTGTGTGTATGTTGGATAGATTTTGTTTTTTGTTTTTTGGTTTTGCTCCCTCCTTCTTTAATTAGGAATGAAGCATTAATAAAAAGAAGTGTTCTATAGGCATCAAGTGTTGGTGAATAAAAATTGGGAATATCTAGGTGACACCCTCTTTGCCTCATACCTTTGCATAAACACAATAAAATATAGTTAAAAAATACACAAACAAGTTTTGGAATTAATTTATGGTAAGATATTTCTTAAATAAAATTAATAAGATTTTAAAAAAAGAACAAAAAATTTACATAAAATATATTAAAAAATCTTGATAAATTTAAAATAAAAAAAATGTCATAAGCCATTACACACAAATCTTTTATTATAAATATATCTCAAAAGATTTTAGTATAAATAAGATTTTTAATGTATATATATATATATATATATATATATATATATATGCAAAGTAAGTAATACACAACATGTCCATTAAGCAATTTCTAAATAAATTACAATGCTGAATAGCAAAAACCTTGTTCTTAGATAATATGTTTTATGAGAGTTAATTTAATCCTAAATCCTATCTATTACAATATCAATTTGGTGTAGAAAAGAGTGTGGATTTTCTTTTTCTTAGTTTACATATCACAAAATTTAACTTTCTTTTATTATTGTAGTCATCCATCTTCTTTTGTACAACTGAAGGTATCTACCTTTATGCAAATAATAGACTACCAATAAGGTGTCTATCAATTATAAATTCTATTTTTGTAAAATAATGATTTATATAGATATATATATATATATATATAGATTTAGAGAGAGAGAGAGAGAGAGAGAGATAATAAAACAACCAATTTTTTTTTTCAATCAATTCACATATTAAAACCATCATTGTACCTTTTCAACCTAGTTTCTAACCATTTCCTTGTTTCTAATTATTACCCCCATTTTCAACGTTCCTAGTCCTCCTTCTTTGTCCTTAACAATAGTTGAAAACAAAAAATGGCTGAGAATAGGGATGGAGGCTACAAGGATGCAATTATAATTAAGATAGAATGAGTTTCTTTCTTATTCTTTTATATATATATATATATATATATATATATATAGATATTTATTGGCATCATTAGAGCTTGGTTTTATTCTAATTATATATTAATAGTTAACATAAATA